TTGTGTATTTTTTTTTAAATTCGAGTGTTAAAATTGTTTAAATAGCAATTTAATTGTTGAGTAAATATGAACATCTCTATATATAAATCAGGCTGTTTGTTTGTTCGTTCGCTATACACTACTAGGCTATTCGAACAATTGCTACAAAACTCAGCAGTTATGTTCAAATACTCTTAATTTAAATAATGTCGTACATATAATCCTCATAATATTGATTGCATTTCTGTAAATCATCAAATATTAATACTACACCGTATTAATTTAGTAGTGATTGACATTCCTCTCTTCTGTGAGGAGATCAACGACTACTTTTGGTCGAATTACTTCAATCTCCTTCTGCAACAGTCCCTTCTACACTTATCACACACACATAATATCTTATATACACAATATAATCATAAGAGTAATGACTTATATAAATAAATAAATAAATTGCTTAACATTATATTTTCTACTGTGACGTAAATTGCATGTAAATGTTTATCAGAAGATCGATTGTAAACAGAGAATTGCCTTCTATATCAATTGTTCGAAGTACAAGTTAGTAAATAATATATAAGTCTTGAAAAGACTGAATGCATACATATAGAAAACAATGTATAAAGAATGTAATAAACCTTTTACATTCTTTACACATAGTTTCTCGTAGTTCATAGGGTTTTTTTTTATTTTGTATTCTTTAAAGATTCAGTTGCTGTAGTGAAGCAAAACAAAGAATGTTACACTTCATTACATCAACCGTTGCGATTTTATACAAGAAGTTAGGATACTTTAAAAATTAAACACGTTCAAAGCCTTGATTGGTTGGAAATTGATCGCAAGACTTACGTAAGCAACACGTTTTTTTGATTTTTAACCAATTAACAAAACGAATTTGTGTAATTTTTAAACTGTCTTAATCATGCTTAGATTGACGCAACCTGAAAAATTTCTTTAATTGACGAAATTATTTTAAATTTAAGTATTTTACTACTTTTCCGGCTGTTACAGAGGGAAAATATCGTTCAAAAATGAACCCTCTAAGATCATTTTTTGAACTCGGATCTTGAAATACAAAACAAGTTAAGGTTTTATTATCCCTGTATATTTGGATGTTAGTGTGTGTGTTTGTGTGGGGACATTTTTTACTCATTTTGGAGCTTAATAACTCTTGTTCTTTTTGTAGAAAATTTCTCAAATTTTGCACGAAGGTTTGTCTGTAAGTGGAAAATGTTTCTAGAAATTTTCAGGAAAATCGGACCATTGGCTTGAGAGATATGACCCCCCACCCCCTTAATGTCTCCCGAATCTAGCAAAGGAAATGGTAGGAATTATTAGAAATGAAGGAGTAAAGAAAGTCCAGCAACATTTCTAGCTTTTCTTCGGATATAATACAAGATTCTTTTTCTTTTATGGGAACTTTTTAAGTTAAGAATGACCAAAAAAAGTTCTACATTCAACAAATTTCGTGTATGTATCTGAGTGCAGACCTCATAACATATCTATAAAGATATGTTATTACATATGTATGTATATATTTGCTATGATAACAGTCAAGGCATAAAACCAGAGGCCCTATTTAACCAAATAATTCCATAAACAAACCTAATCGATTTATTATCCTAACCTTTCGAAAGGAAAGCAAACCTGATAACAATCAATAAGCAAAACAAAAGTGAATTGCTATCGATATTTAACGATAAGGATTTTTATCTTATCCATTATCTCGATAAATATTTATCTCTATAATAAAAAAACGTGTATAAATATTTTCCCTTGGCATTCAGCCATTATTTTTGCTTATTTATTCCCATTTAAATTTGAAAATTCTGTATTTAATTAAGGAATATTCCCTCTTTTCTTTCCCTCTCTCTCTCGCATTTAATTAACTTGTAAACTTTCCTCGTGGAAACTTAAATGAGTTTTTTTTTATGGTTTAATTTCTTTACAGGTAATCTAACAACAAAATAAATAAATAAAAATTAAATATGGCTACTAACTTTAAATGTTCCCACCTCCTTTGTTTTCTTGTTCGTTGGCATTTTATGTTTCTAAAGGGAAGAAGAAGAAACAAAAAAAAACCTCTTGGACTTTAAAATTGTTCTCTCTGTTCTTTAGTCTAACCATCAAAGGAATCTTCCCAAAGGTATCGTTATGAGATGGCTTTGAAAAGGAAGTGAAGTATGCAGTTTACTAACCGCTTCTCCATCCCCTCTGTCCTTATTTTCTTGTCTTTTTTTTGGTAGTTTCTTTAGAAAACTTATCGAGATTTCGGCGAGTTTTATAAGAAATTCGATGCTTTTTTCTTACAGGACTTATGAAGTTTCAAACCTAAAATTTTCATTTTATTAATAATTTAAAGTGATATGTTAAATTTTATATTGTTCTTTTTAATGCTAGAATTTTTTTGTCTCTTAGAATTGATTTTTCTTTTTCTTTTTTGAATTGAGAAGTTGCAAGTCGCATCTTAAGTTTCACTCGGTAGATATTGTTACTAGGTGGGTTGTTATCGAAAGAATTTATATTATTATTATACAGATAGGTGGAAATTTATTATTCTGATTAAGTTGGCATATAATTGAAATAGATATTCTTTAAATAAGAATATTAATAATTGTTTTAAAACGTGAATGAATGAAATAAAATAAAACGAGAAGGGTTTATATGACAAAATGGATAAGACTAGAGCAACTGTGGGATAATTCTGAGCAAATTTTCTCTTTTCTGGACTAAAATTACAGAAATTAAACATATAAATATAAGAATTTTTAACTAAAAATTTTCCAAAATTTAATACAAAATGGGCTTGAACTAAAAAACAATTTTTTGTAGCTTGGGATCTCTCTTAGTCTTATTTATAAGTATGTACCAGTACTGTACTTCTTAACAATTGTAATATCTACAATATATTTTAATTTTTAATGTTGTAAAAATATACAATAAACGCATTTTCGAAATTAATTGATATGACTAATGAATTACTTAAATTGATTCACATTTTACAAAATTTAACGAGTCACTGTGTGACTCACAAAAGTTTTAGGCTATCGTATACTCTGTTGACACATAATTAAATTGTTTTTCCATACGAATATTAATAGTTTTTCCCTTAAAATAGGTGTGAAACGAGAGGTTTATATGGCACAAAGGCTAAATAGATTAAAGTAAAGATTATTATTACAAAAATAAATAAATATTTTATTTTGTTAATATTGATCTTTCTCTACTCAATTTTAAGAACATGTATATATTTAGTAGTAATTTATTTGAGATTCTTATCAAGGATATATGTTTTAGTATGGAAATTATGAAGATTAAATCGAAATTTCGTATAGAATTTATGTTATTTTGATATGAATAGTTCATTTGTAAAATCTATGATAGAAAGAGGGTTTATTTTTTGATTTTACTGTATGACTATTGAAAATAATACAAGAATAAGGAAATAATCTGTAAATATAAAGAAAAATCTGTAATTGTAGGGATTAATCTGTATATATACAGAAGAATAAACCGATAAATGTCTAGAATAATCTGTAATTGTAAAGAGCAATCTGTAGGCAATAAACAGTAAATTAGGAAAGAGTAATCATAGCGAGTAATCTGTAAATGTATGGAATAATTTGTAAGGGAATAATGTGTAAATATAATTTGTAAATGTAGGAAAAAAACCCGTCAATGTAAAGAAATATAAATAGAATTTCGTAAATGCAGGAATAAATCAGTAAATATAAGAAACTTGCCCATATTTACGTGCAGAAAATCAAGAAACTCCATGAGGCAAGCCCATTGATAAGTTGTGAATCCTCAACTACCAGTGTTCAAATTAACACAACTCATTATATAAGAATGGTACGTTTATATATATATAAAAATCTTACATGTATTTTAAACGGTTTTTAAGTTATAAAAGTTACAGTCATACACACGAACAGATTATTTTTATAATATTTAAGCCATATATAAAGATGTAGGATAAAGTTTTTCATAAAAAAAAGATACATATTACTCACATTAAATTAGGAGATAATGGAGAAATATTAATTAAAACAATTAAAAACTAAAGAGTAAATGGAAACATTATAAGAGTTAAGAAAGAAAATCTTCGTGATGATAATTAAACGTCTAGAATTATGTTATTTATTTAATTAAATTAAATATTTTATTACATTTCTCTCGGAAAAGGTTTTAATTTTCCTTTTAAACTATTAAATTATATAAATTTTCATTTTAAAAATTAATTATCTTAGCTTAAAATACGACTTGTTTTACCTTATCTTTATATAAAAGTTTACTTTATTACTCTAAGGGTTTTAAATTTTATTAAAAGAATAAATAATAAAAATGAGCAATTTTCTAGAATTTTTAAGGTTTTTTTTATGTGGTTTTTAAACTAATTTTTTAAATAAAATTTCGTATTTTTGTATAAAGTAGAAGCATCTTATTCGTATAATGAACGAAACGTAAGGATAATATTATGATTAAATTACCTTTTAAATGCATTTGATTAACATAGACAAAATTGAATAATGTTTCTTCTTTTCTTTCTTAATTTTTTTAATTAATAAAATAAAAATTATGTTAAAGAAAATTGCTTTTCTTAACTTTCTTATAGGCTAATTTAATTTTTATATTTATTTACTAATCTATACAACTGGAAATATTTTAAACTTGCCAATATATTCGAATGAAAAAGCTGGAAAAGTTAGGAAATTTTATATGTTAAGTATGTTAAAAGTATCTTAAAGATGCTCTTGAAGATTCAGGAGACAAGAAGAGATGCTCTTAAAACAGCAACAGCGACATTACTGGCGCTTAAGAGCATCTTTTCTTCGTCTTCTTTCTTCATTGGTTACTAATATGTTTCCTGTTTCTTAAATTGTTTCTGGCATTGTTCTTATGCTTAATATTAGAAACTGAAAGATTTGAGTAAAGAATTAAAAAGACAGAAGCTACAGAAGATATTATTCCTATACTAGAAATATTTCTCTCATAAGAAAAGAGGTAAAAGAGCCAACGAAGTACAATATTTGATCTATAACAACAGGAGATTAAAGCCATTAATGTCTACAAGAATTAACTTTGTGTTCTCTCTTGCAAAACCTAAACGATAGCGAGTGAGAACAAAGAACTGTCTTCATTTATTTTCCTAGTGTAAGAAGTCAGATCTTCTTTAACGTTCCTCCAAAGTGATTCTCAATCCTTCAGAGCATCTAAGTACCATCTCTGCTGTCAGATGAAGCTTATCTCGATGATCTAGAGAGCGAATGGTAAAGTTTCTCATAACATGAGCAATCGCGACTTTCAGTTCCATCATGGCAAAACGTTGACCTAAATAGTAGATTAGATAAGTCTTTTTGTATTATCTTCTATACATAATTCTTGAAAAGTACATACCGATACAATTTCTTGGCCCTGCTGAGAAAGGTATATATGCATAAGGATGTCGTCCAGTAATATTTTCTGGTAGGAAACGATCAGGATCAAATATTTCCGGATTAGGATAGACGTCAGGATTGTGATGAAGTATATATGTCGCTACTAAACAGGATGTTCCTCCAGGAATCTTAAAACCATCTGAAAAAATCTATAATTAAGTTTTATACATAAACGTTTTAAGCACGAAGACACTAGCAGGTTATCTATGAGGATTACATTTTAATCATGGGCACAAGAGAACCTTAAACGTAAGAGCTTACCAAACATATCTAAATTCTAAAGCACATAAAGAATGGCACTATAAGGACACAATATCTTAACAGAGTAATGATCTGGTATCCATGTTTGATGAGTTCTTATATTAAAATAAAACTTACTGATCGTCACGTCTTCTCGAATTTCCCTTCCTATAAGTGGTAAGGATGGGTACAGACGTTGGCTTTCCTGTAAGGTATAATATATTAGCATCATATTTAAATTACTTTAAATAGAATGAAAGTAATTTACCTTAATGATGCATTCAAGATACTTTAATTGTCTTAAATCTTCTATAGTCACTTCTCTTCCTTTATCGTTACCAAAAATAGAGTCTATCTCTTCCTTAAGTTTTTCCTGCACGTCTGGATAAACCCCAATTAAATAGAGGGTCCATGAAAGTCCTACTGCTGTAGTGTCATGACCCTAAAGGATATTTTTAACATTAAAATTGCTCAAAGTATCATATCTACAGGATAAATTATGTTGTACAGTACGTCCTTATGTATCATAAAACACTAAAGAACATAATTAACTTTATATATTTTATAAATTCCTAAGCATTAATTATATATTTTAGAACGTAGTAAGAGAGTTAAAACACTAGAATAAACTTCGTTACCTTACAATACTAAATAAAGTCGAATAGTTTAGCAGATTAGTACAGACAAACAAACGAACTAATCGATAAAAATTCCGGTTTGTTTCCTTTACCATTTCTGCAATCAGAACTTAAATAATTATTTACTTACAGCAAACATGAAAGTGTCAACTTCTTCTCTAACATCCTCCTCAGTTAACGATCCATCTTGCAAGTGATGATGAAGAAGAAGATCAAGGAATGCTTTCTTCTTTCTTATAACATTGTCATTCTTGTAACTTTTGCCTTCGACTTCAGATAATAATTCTCGTTTTCTCTCGCAAATTACCTTTAGTAAAGATAATATGGGGGACTAGTATGATCATTAATGATAATAACTGTTTATCTCTTTAACTCTATTTAATCCCCTGATGCGTTGAAACAGATACACTAAAGCTTCTATTGTTGAATGAAGTATGGTTGGACCCGAGCAATTTGCATCCTTTAAATGGAATTATGCAAATTTACCTTCTACATTTTGCCATTTCTCCCCTCCCCTCCCCCCTGCTCTCGTTTCAGAAATTTAATTTTTGAATTCCGCCTCTATTATTAGTTTTAAATTGCCAAAATTATTCTATTTTATTTGTTATTTTGATGTTTCTAATGTCAGTAATTAATGTTGTTACAGTAGTAATTTTGTTACTAAAGTAGCACTGTTTCTTAATTAATGTATACAAGTCAAACTTGTGATAACGGACACTGACGAGAACATAAAAATGGTCGTTATTTACAGGTTATTTTGTAAGAATTTTTGGCCGAAAAAAAAGGTTCGAGTTCAAAGGTTAATTAGCAAGTTTTAATGGCATTAATGGGTATTTTTAGGTAATTTCTGACATTTATAATGCATATTTTAAAAAAGTTTGTATTGTCAAGAAATATTTTTATCAATTTTAGTGTTGTTAAACTGTCATTTTAACATTTTTTCCATCATCTAAAAATTTATTGCGATCGTTTTTTTGATCATCTAAAAGCACTTTACTCAATGAAAAATCTTATAATTCAGAAAACATATAACAATAAAACGATGTGAACAAAACAATGGCAAATTTTCTTTTTTATTTTCTAAAATTTTTTACATTTTTCTTGCCGTTATTTAAAAATATATATATATTTTTTAAAAGTATAGTATAACCTGTGTAAACCGGAATCCCACGGTATCAAATATTTCTTCAGGTTCATTTTAAACAGGTGTGTGTGTGTGTTTTTTTTTTTTTTAGCTTAGAAAATTACTCTGTTACGAAGAATTTTTCCCGTTTAGGCCGGTTTCCGTTTTATTCGGGTTTCGTTTTAAACAGGTTTTACTGTATAAATGAATTTAAATAATTTTAGATAATTTTTCCAAAAGCATCTAAAAATTATTTTGAACTTTTTAAGATAATTTTAGCGATTTTTGGATGATTTTTAGTGCTTTTTAATGCGAATTTTTCGATGAACTTTAGTGCTTTTTAATGCGATTTTTGGATGATTTTTAGTGCTTTTAATGTGATTTTTTTGGATGATATTTAGTGCTTTTTAATGCGATTTTTGGATGATATTTAGTGCCTTTTAATGCGATTTTTGGATGATCTTTAGTGCTTTTTAATGAGATTTTTGGATGATATTTAGTGCTTTTTAATGCGATTTTTGGATGATATTTAGTGCCTTTTAATGCGATTTTTGGATGATCTTTAGTGCTTTTTAATGAGATTTTTGGATGATATTTAGTGCTTTTTAATGCGATTTTTGGATGATATTTAGTGCCTTTTAATGCGATTTTTGGATGATCTTTAGTGCTTTTTAATGAGATTTTTGGATGATATTTAGTGCTTTTTAATGCGATTTTTGGATGATATTTAGTGCCTTTTAATGCGATTTTTGGATGATCTTTAGTGCTTTTTAATGAGATTTTTGGATGATATTTAGTGCTTTTTAATGCGATTTTTGGATGATATTTAGTGCCTTTTAATGCGATTTTTGGATGATCTTTAGTGCTTTTTAATGAGATTTTTGGATGATATTTAGTGCTTTTTAATGCGATTTTTGGATGATATTTAGTGCCTTTTAATGCGATTTTTGGATGATCTTTAGTGCTTTTTAATGAGATTTTTGGATGATATTTAGTGCTTTTTAATGCGATTTTTGGATGATATTTAGTGCCTTTTAATGCGATTTTTGGATGATCTTTAGTGCTTTTTAATGAGATTTTTGGATGATATTTAGTGCTTTTTAATGCGATTTTTGGATGATATTTAGTGCCTTTTAATGCGATTTTTGGATGATCTTTAGTGCTTTTTGAATTTTTTTTATTATATTATGATCTTTTAAATAATCCTAAATATTTGAAAAAAATTTTTTTAGCTGCTTTTAAGCAATTTAAAATTTTTTTAATAATAAATTTTTTAACTTTTTCCTTATAAAATTCTGCTTTGACATCTTCTAAATACATTAATTAATACTGCAATTTAGAAAATTACACGCTTAAGTGACTTAACGACGTTGGCGATACTTTAACTAATCGAGGAAGAAACCATTAAAATTTAACTTCTATTCAACATTTATAAGTGTTACAAATGAAAATACTAATCGATATTTTGGGCGGAGAATCTCAAATAATTCACACAAACTGCTTATTTTCTTTGAAAAATTGTTCGTAACGTTGACACAACGCTTGAGATTCACGAATAAAATTGTATGTTAGAAAGTTTTCTTCTTCCTTCTAAACTTATATCCTTGCAACTAAAATATTCTTTAAAACCTTTAAATAAGGATTATCTACAGTTATTAAGTGTAGATCTGCACTCATTACAGCTGTTTCAATGTAAAAAATAACACAACTATAAACCTACTCCCCCTTACTGTTTATCTCTACATTTATTTATATTTTCGAATATTTATCCTTAAGATGATAATTAATACTTTAGTGAGAGGTTTCGAAGGATTATCTTACCTTTCTTGAAAAGTTGCACATAACGTCCACACAACGCTTGAAAGTCCTCCCCTCTGAACTGAGTTGAAATATCGTATCATACCATAACCAAGGCTTCGAAATTCTCGATAAAAATATCTCAGAAGCCTTCCTTAGAGCCTCCAAATAAGGATTATTTATATTTTTTTGAGCTTGGATTTGCTTACCCATTGCTGTTTCTATATAAAGATACAACAATTGTGAGCCATAAAATCGTTACTGTCACTTACTGTTTCACTTTATTCTTACCACATAGAATGTCCAAAGTGTATAATGTCACCCAGTAGACTATATTTATAGGTTGTGGGCCAACTTTTGATCGTAAATTTTGGACCAAAATCAGGCTATGATAGTCTATAATTGGAAGGAAATCTTCTAATATACGAAAGTGGAAAGATGGTGTTAACAATTTACGTCTTATACGCCATTTAGTACCTTTACTAAGATTTTAAAAAAATGATGTTTTTAATAAAATTAAAGCCATTAAATTAATGATTTTTATAATAGATTCTTAAACAGACTTGATACTTTTATGGAACTGAAATTATGACCCCGCAGATAACGACACTCGGTTATANTGCTTTTTATAATAAATAAAGAATAATCGATAAAATAATCACCTAGTAATTAAACCAGACTTAAACCATGGACCCAAAAATCGATATTCAAATTTCTTTTCCAAAATTGTATTACTACTAAGCACTGCCTGAATGATAATTTAATGAATAATAATAATAATACATTTTAATATGAATTTTTATATAAATAAAACTCACCTCTACTGATTCAGGAGTGTATAAAATAATCATAGGTTTAAAAAAGAACCAAATTCTTGCAAATTTTTCTTTAGAAAAGAGGTTATAAATTCCACAGATAGTTTGAAAAATTACTGAAGCATAAAATAATAATTTTCAAAAATTTTTTAAAGTATGAAAATAATAAAATATTTTCAAGTTTATAGCCTTAAAAGAAAGATAATTTAGTATATTTTCTATAAAAAATATTCTTATAACTGAATCTTTTAGAAAAGAATAGAAAAAAAGTTTACAACTATCTCACCCTTTCCTATATACTTACACACATTGGGATTTATCACATTCTGATTGAATATAGATTTGATAATAGCGCAAGATACGAAGAAAGGATTGCCTTTACAACCTGGTAAATTCCATAAAATTTCATTTTTCTTCTTGAAATCAATATATATGTGTATTAGGAGAGTAAATATAGCTAAAATTATAGAAATTCCAAGAATATAAGCAGAATTTTCTATAATATTTCTGTATTCATCATCGTTGTTTCGTATGTAGAATTTGTCCATCATCATCATCATCATTGAAAAAAAATTAATAATTTTAAATGATTTTCTTCAAGTTTATTAAATATATTTAATACGTGACGTAAACTAGATAATCCAATAAACTTATTGAACACAATTAGGACACTTTGAAGAGTGTGTATAAAGAGGATAGCGGGTGGGTTATTGAAACTGTTAAAAAAATCGAAGTTTTAATCATTTTAATTGGTGTTTTTTGTATAAAAATACACGGGAAAGTATTTAAACTTTGTGTTAACTGATTTGGAAAAGTGTTTTCTATATTTAACAACGATTAAATACGTAACTAGAAGGTTCAAAGTTCATGAAAACGGCGCTTGAAGACTGGAAATGAGTCATTTTTTTGACGTTAAATTTGAGAAAAATCGAAGGAAATTTTAGATTTAACGTGTAAATTAAAAAAAGAAATTATTAATTATATTAAAAAATTGTTTTTTAAATGATATTTTAATTTTTAATTACTATTTTCTACCTACAAAAATGAACGTGGCTAATGTGAAGATGCATTCAAAACTTTTGTTTCTATAGATCGATTGTTGTAAGGATTAGTCGCATTAATCATCATAAATCATCATCATAATTACCTATTGGTTATCCTATTATAAAAAAAGATGATAGGGTATTAGTAGGTATTAATTAATTAATAATAATTGTTCTAGTTAGTGAAGTCTCTATTGAATGTTATATTCAATAAGTAGTCTCTGTTATACTGATCGAAAGTAGGCATTTTACTACTGTTAAGCATGCTAACATTGCTCTTCTTAGGCATTTATAAACAATGCCTGGTTTCTATACACTTAATACAAGTAGAGTTTTAAGAGATGAAGCATGCAGTATGCCCTTTTATGCACATTTTTCATGTATACAAATGATTTCTCACGCATATTTGTGTTCATTTACGCAAAATTTTTATGTGCTGTGTACAATATATATATATACAGTATATACAGTCGACTTCCCTATAACACTGTTGATAATTCCGTTTTATATGAATTCCATGTTGTACGAGTCACTTAGATTTTACAAATTTTAGCCCGGCACACGTATTTGTAAAATCTAAGTGACTCGTACAACATGGAATTCATATAAAACGGAATTATCAACAGTGTTATAGTGGGGTCGACTGTATAACATTTTATGTAGTATAGGCCTACATATTTTTATGTATTTACAGGCTTGTAAAATACACAATTATAATACATATTTGCAAATTTTTCTACGTACTTTGCAGCACAAAATTCTTCTATTTCGTACACAGTTTTTATACATAATTTTCTAAAAAATTTTGCCAATTATTGTGGATAAATCTTGACGAAATCAAGCTGACTTTATACTCGATTTTACCCATTTTTAAGGTTTTTTTCATGCTAATTAAAGTTATTTTTTGATTTTAAGATATAGAAAAAGCTATTTTTTACATATTTTTAAACTAAAATTATAAGTTACATAATATATATCCTATAAGCCGTCAAAATTACAAAGTATAGAGCAATTTTATGAGTGTAGCCATTATATAAAGGTATAGTTAACGAAGCATAAATAACAGAGAAAGAAACAAAACAATTTAAAACTTATTCTAGAAAAAAAAAATCTATTTAAAAAACGTAATTTTCTCTAATGTTTATTCCAATTTCCGTTAGAAATTCCATTATTTATGAGAAACTCTGCTACGCTCTCATTAATCAGAGTATAAAGAGGAGACACAAACATGGGTGTGCTTATATATATTTTTTCGTGTTTCTGTTATTAATTGTAAGTTAATAAATTAATAAAACATTAATTTATACTTCTATTTATTTATTTAAATATTTAATATGATTACAATTACTATTATTTATTTATTTATCTCTGTATACGTGCGATGGATAATTATATTTTCAATATCAATTTTTTCCAGAGGAAAAAGTGTTAAAAATAATAAATTTAAACCCTTTTTAAACTTGTTAAAATAATTTAACAAATGCTTATTTATGAAATACATACAAAATAACCTCCAAACAGTGGATATATTTAAGTAGAATCACGTGTGGTTCTCGAATGGGGTTCTGGAATTAATGGCGATTTTATTCGTTATTAGCATTTATAATGATTTATAAAACTCGTCACAACCATCAAAAATTAAGCTTTTTATCATTAATTAATAATATAAAAAGTTTTATAACAAAATCTCATAACAGATGGCTCCACACACAATTTTATTTATTATGATTAATAATATAAAAGTTATTTTTTAAATAAAATCTCATAATAGCCGGGAAAGTTATGTAACTTGTTGCTGGATTTTTAAAAAAATATTTCTTAACATATTTCTTCTGAATTCTTAAAAGAATTTTTTAAGTTTTTTAAGCGTAACACAGAATTGCCCTATTTAAAGAGTGTATATCACATCCTACTGAAATAATTATGTAGGAAGTATTTATGAATGTTTTCATCTTCAATTATAGCCTTATAGAGTTTCAATTATATGCTGCATGTACAGTATTTTTATTTTTGCTGATTGCTAACAAAGCACTAATATCAGTAACACTGTACTTCAGTTATTACAATGTAAAACACTAGTTTAACATCACTAATTTTAAATAGGTACAATGCTATACTGACAGAATTAAGTATATCATATAGTGTAATGTAATATGTATTAACTATAATACTTTTCACAGCACTAATTCTAGTTAAAAATCAGCAGCGGTGCATTATGGCTTCATGAGGTCCAGGTGAATTTTAATTAGGGGATCCCGGGTACAGTGTTGATTCGGGTATTTTTCTTCGGGGGAATGTTTTTGGGGAAAATATCTTGTTATAAAAGATTGGTTTGGGACTCCACGTTGGTGGAACCAACAGGAAATTTCCCTTTTTTCCTGTAGGATAACAGCGTTTCACTAAAATCAGTGTACGTACTTAGTTCTGTACTAAATTACACAGCGCTAATTACAGTCAACAATCAGTGTACTTAGTAATAATTTAACATACAAAAGTAGAATTTATTAACATTAAAATTAATTTGAAATGACGAGAAATAGCGCAGAAAATTTCTCGACGAATTTAAACACAATAAAAACAGAGATTTCAATAAACGGACAGACACGTTCACACACGATTTAAATAAATATTTACACGAGAAAGTGGAAAACATGTTTGTTAGAAAGTCCAAAGTATTTCATTAAAAAACGTTCGATATTAATGCTTTTATCTTTCCTTTTCTTCGTGTGTTGATGTGCAACCATGCTTACAACTGTAGCAAATCTAGTGTTTATCACTCATCAATAATTTTAATGCCAGAATGTAGTGTCAACGACACTTTAACACATTAAAAAAAAACATATTTTTAGTGTCATTTACTTATTAAAATAATTTATAATTAAACTTTAATCGAAGAAAGGGGGGAGGGTTGACATTTTCGCATGAAAGTTTCGCAGCAGCGAAAAAGAAGTTATGATGATGATGATGATGTGACACGGTTTAGAATAAATTATATCAAAGAATTTTATGCAAATTACTTAACTTATTATAATATTTAATTAGTGTTACGCTTAAAAGAATATTACACCTTATTTTTTTGTATGAAAAATTCCTATTAACTTTCCAAGTTTCTGTCGTGAACAGGATCGAATTTTGCGTGTTAATTTATGAAAGTTTAGCAAATATTTATAAATATAAAGTTGTAAAACATATTAAATTTTTATATTCTTGATTTATTTAGGATGTTATTAAGTGGTAAATCTTTACATTTGCGGTGTTGTACTTCAATTAAAGTGATTGCCACGTGTATAAGTTAGCAGTTTTATTCGATTCTTAAAGATTTAATCTTCTTTAATATCTTTCTAACCAATCTAAGAAATGCACTACAACTCTAGGGTATTAATTTGTTTACAAGGCCAAAATTTAATCTTATTTTTTCTTCTCCATCCCCATCTTTAACAAGAACATTAACCTTTAACAAATTCTTACTCTCTGACATTGTTTTTATGAGATAGCGATGCTTTTATGTCCTTTGTAGCATAGTAATGTTACTGTGTATTATAAATACTGTTTAATTTTCTTAATTTTATCAATTTGTCAATGCTTATTCAAGCGTAAGGGAGTTATTAGCGTGACATAAGTAAACAATAAAATGTTGAATGTGTTGTTGGGATATGACATTCTCTCTCTCCGATTCTCTCTCATACTTTTAGCTAATTTACCTAAATCTTATAGACTTCTGCTGATATATATATATATATTTTTTATCAAGTTAAGAACTTTCTTGTTCCTATAGTAGTATAAGTATTATGAAATCCATTATCATCTTGTTAACTTGTCAATGCTTATTCGCGCGTGGAGAAAGGTCATTATACCATTATCGTGACGAAACTAAATAGAAAATTCTACTTTAGTGTATCGTTTAAAGCAAAATTATACCCTTTGATCAAATTTGTAAGTGATATATCAGCAGATATCTTCCTTGTTTCTGTCACGAAAGGGATTTTACTTATC